AAAATTGTGACGGGGACAAAAATGTTGCGTAATTTGGTGCAAAAGGCGAAAGCATTGTGCACGAAACTCAACAAAGTGCACCCAATAATTCGAATTAGCATTTGAAATGGTGGAAGGTCATAAATAGAACGAGAGAGACCCGTACACAACTGAAATCGGCTCAATGGTTGGAAAAACGTGCGAAAAAAAAATTTGAAGTGTATAATGGTGTTATTTCTCATTATCCACTTCAACCCAAATCAATTCCGAACCAAAACGGACGGTTTTTCCATACCGAAACGGCACGAAACGAATGAACGAACGAAGGAATAGAAGAAACCACCGAAAAAATATCGATGCATATATATTTATGCATAATATAAGTGTATAAAAATGCTCCCTCTGCACAAACCAAACACTCAAATATGTATGCGCGCGCGCGTACGTTCCCTTCACCGTGTGTCGAATAGAGGAGTTGCTTGATCAAAACAAAGGCACTCTCAACAAACACAGTCGAGCATAGCGAAACTAAGAAGAGTGCAAGGCAAGCGAAACAGGCGAGCAGGCAAAAGGCGAGGATCGGATGAATGATGGAATGATGGAATGAAATATATACATACTCACATCTGTGCGTATTTGTATGGTGATGCTTTAATAAGTTTTTGAGTTTCGTGGGAAATATAACTTACCCTGGGTTCCCATACCGTACCGTGCTCACATGGCGTGTTCTGTTTTGTGTATTCATCGGTGCACTAACTGCATGTGCATAATAATGGATGTGTGCTGTTGTTGTTGTTGCTGCCTTTTTCTCTCTCTCTCTCTCTCTCTCTCTCTCTCTCTCTCTCTCTTCATTTTCCTTTTTGTTTCGGGTTCGGGTTTTATTTCTCTCTAGTCGTACGCATACACAAAAGGCACGATAGAGAATTGTGCGTAAAGCGTGTCTGTCTGTGTGTACGATTTCATTTTCCACGTTTATCGTCTATCGATAAAAGTCGGATTTTGGAAAATGTCTATACAGGAGCGGGGTGTTTATGTGTGCCTTAAAGGAATAGAAGAAGAATACAAGAAGAAGAAAATCGCAACTAGTTTTCTATGGTCCGAATACACGCATAGAACAATGCTTGTACAATGTCACACATGGTAATCGATGTAAACCGTAACAGAAAAAGAAGAAGCACAAATCAGAGAAGAGAAAAAAGAACAGGCAAACGAAGAAGAAGACGACGACGACGATGAAAAAAAATGAAAAGAAAACGAACAACGAATCAACAGAGAAGTAATAAGTGAGGAGAATACACATAGTGAAGGTATTAAAAGCCGAGAGAGCAAACGCAATGAAAAAGGGCGCACCTGCCAATTTTCCCATCGTTCTCGTCACTTTCTCGATCAATTTATTATCAATATCATTGAAATCTCTGTCTCCGTTCATTTGTTCGTTCATTTCGTTCCTTCCATCCGTTACGTTTTCTCAAGCCAGTGATTTTTCTGTTTTTGCGCGATTTGCTCCCGCTCTTTCTCTCTCTCTCTCTCACGCTCGCTCGCTCCATCAGAATCCTTAAGAAAGTGTACAAATGATTATCTACTGTCGTTTTCTTTCCGTTTTTGCGATGCATTTTATCACGCGCAATTTTCAATTTAAATAAAGCCAGAAAATTTGGCGAATGATTCGGAATGGCAAAAAAAAATATAATTGAAATGGAGAGCTTAATGTTTGATTAACACAACCTGGCCGATTTGTGTGACCTCTTTGGCCTCCGTTTGGTACACAACACTCCAGCACTCGCATAATTAATGACGACGCCAAATATTGTGACGACGAAAGAACAATAAGAGACGAGAGAAACGAACGAGAGAAGTGAAAAAAAACTCTACAATTATTGAATGAATGAAGGCATTGTATGTGTACGATGAGAGAGAGAGAGAGAGAGAGAGAGAGAGTAGAGCTTGTGCGATGCACGCTTATAAAGTGCGACCGATATAACATACCGATAAATATATGTATATATATAGAGAAGCGAGTGAATGTCTTGGGCGCGAGTACGGTCTCGCTCTGTTTTTTTTTGACGCAATTTCTTGGCAAACAACACACGGGACATCACGGTCTCTCTTGCTCTCTTGATGCCTGAATGGAGATGTTGCCGTGACTGAAAATTATGCCGCTACACACAGAGAGAATGAGCGATGTGTGGTTAATCGCTTTCTTCATTAGCTTCATATTTATTACCGTCCACTTTTGATGTTGCTGCAGAAAAATTAAATATATTGTAGAGATATGACAATTTACATCCACATATGTGGAAACAGAGCGAAAAAAAAGCGACCGAATGCACGTATGCAGATCACTTATGACGTTTTAAAAACTGACAATAATCATATCCGGCATGCTGACTCCGTTGACCATTTGCCCAGTCAGTTCACATAATAGTTATCGTTGTTTAGTTACCGATGTGACGCAGAGCACAGAGTGTACTCCTTGTGGCGCGCGCACACGGACACTTTGATGCTAAATTCAAATTACCTTGAGCAAAAATCACACAAAATTAGCTGAAGGAACACAACCGAGAGCACTGAAAATGCGGTTAGGCAATGTCAAGACCAAAACATACGCACACGAAATAAATCGACCTGGATTCTTTGTTTGCGCACCCGTTCGCGGCACAATTTTTCGCTTGTTGCTCCACAAAGATCCAATGACGTTCGAACATTGTTTTTACCATTTTCGTACCTTGTTTTAGCCATTACTTTTTTTTATTAGTTCTTGTATAATCACGACGTCCTTATTTTTACGAAACTATTTATATCTTATGCAAAACGATTCATGAACTTCATCTCAAATGGTTAAGATATCCTTAACTTATTTGACCAATCAACTGCTATTTCGGGGCTAATTTGTACATTTCACTGTTTAACAACTGTTTTGGCCAGTGTTCGTGCTTTTTTTCTTCTTACGCTTGTCTCATAAACGTAACGAGCTCGTTTCGAATTACAACGGTAAAAAGGAAATAGCTTCGGGCGACAAACAAATCACTATTTTCACTTTGCATCCGACATACTGCAGTTGCGATCTGATAGACTTGCTTTCGGTGATTTTGACATTTGCTTTCGAATGGAAAGTGCCAAATTTATGGGAAAGAACAGTACTCATTTGAATCGAAGAAAGGCTTCGATTTATATGAATTCCAGATGGTAGTCGAAATTTCTTTGTTTGAGCGGCTGTCATTTTGCATTGATTTTCAACAGGTCATTAGCGCTTTTCATCGGAAAAATGGCATTTGAAACATCCAGAAACATCAATATCAAGTCCCATTTATAAAGAAAGGTGATGAGTCTGATGTTTCAAATTATAGACAAGTCAGTGTATGGCCAACTCAATGGCGATTATTTTTGAATATCTAATGAATAAATTGTGAATATTAGAATATCAATTGACACTACACCAGCATGGGTAGATTTGTAAGAAACTAATCGACTCATTCTCATTGAATATGTTGGTCATGTGTCGTCTGCATTAGATGAGGGTTATGAGATGCATACAATTTATACAGATTTTACCAAAGTCTTTGATTCCGTTGCTCATGAAATTTTGCTCTCACAAAAACTGCATTCAATGGGTCTTGATACCGTCATGTTACATTGACTAGATTCATACCTCATAAATCGACTTGTCTATGTAACATGACGGTATCAAGACCCATTGAATGCAGTTTTATAATTTCAATATATATATTAATTCAACGGTCACAATTTTTATTTAAGCATAAGTTAAAATGGGAATTCAAAGGAATATCAAAAGTCGCAAAGCAAACCAAAAACGATGATAAATTGTAAACAGAATTCGTCACCATATACTCAATAAAAAAAATAAAATAGAACCGCGTTCGAATAATGCGAAAAGAACGTTAATTTGCAAATGAAATCACGTCAATTTATGGGAGAAAAAGAAGACTTATTCGACACAACGGGAGTTTTACGTTTTTGTTTTTATCGTGTATTTTGGGTTGTTATGAATGGAATTGCTCTGATTTGAGCAGAAAATCTGCGTTCGGAAAGGAAGAATTCATAAATATGCAATTAGTCAAGTGGCAAGAAGCAGCAGAAAACTGTGGAATAATGACGAAAACCCAAAGTCATAAAAGAAAAAATTTCTTCATCGATATGAAAGGAAAAAGTCAAATCAATAATGAACGAAAGGAGAAAAAAAAAACTCCGCAATTAGTTGGGAAAGTCGTTGAATTTTGATCATTTGTGAATAATTTCCATATGAAACAGCGTTGACAGCCCTCTGAAATGGTGCATATATTATAAAAGAAAGTGTAATTTTCATTTATAAATTGCTGCAATCTCTGTTTCGTCTCAACGGACCTTTTCTCCATTCTCATCGTCTTAATAACATCAATTCGAAATAAAATTTAATTGAATGCTGTACCAATGTTCAATGAGAGAGGGAGAGAGATAAGAGAGAAAATAAATCCTTAATTGAAGGATACGGACGAGAGAAAACCGTAATGGAAATTTTGTGAAAGGCGAATCGATATATTTTTTCTACCTGCATGTGTGCACATACCAATACACCGATGCGGAGGATGTGTTTGGTGCGCAACTGGCAGAGTGTATGGTTCATGTGCACAGGATTGCATGCGTGGTGCGACGGCGGCAGCAATGACGACGAAACACATAGCAATAGGGAACCGGTCGTGGTTCAACGAGCAAATCGCCCACGTGCTTCGATATTTTGGATGCGTTGCGAGTGCATAAGCGCACTGAGCGCACAGCACCGAAAGAGGCAGACAGAGGTGGCGGGGGAAGGAATACACGTTGATTCCTTTTTGCCGTAGGCTGTTGCTATTGCTGCTGCTGCTTTTTTTGTTTGTTTGTTCCTTTTTCGTTTTTTCGCTCGCTTTTTCTGTTCCAACTTTCGGTTGCGGAGAGCGCGTTTATGCAGGCGCGCATCGACCAATTTTTGAGTATAAAAGTCCTACCATATTCCGACTAACCATCATTCTAACTTCAAACCTGTTGCACTCACAACCAACAGAGTTTCTCTCTCGTCACAGTCATATCGAACACTGATCGATTTTCTTGATCGAGAAAACGTACGAAGAAGTTACGGAAAAAGCAAAAAAAAAAAAAATCTGAATTTCGTGAGTCGTGTGTGAGATTTTTTTTTTGTATCGTAAAAACGAAGCGTTCGGGCACGCACAATAACACAGAGTGAACAAATAACAAAACGTAACCGTTAACAAGAAACATATCATTCGGTCGTCATCATTGCTGTTGTTGTCGTCGTTTTTTTTTCTTCTTTCGCATTACCGCATATATAATCGCATTTCATCATGTGTATCGCCCGTGATAATTTAGTAAACAAAGAAAGAGAGCTCAAGCTCAAGCAGCAACAACAACTGCAGCCACCGTTGCTACAGCAACAGCAGTTCAACGCACCGAATAATTGGATGCAATCAGTGCGCAAAGTGAGTAACCATCAATTAAATTGCATTAAACTTTTTCGTATGTGAATTTTTCGATTTTTACTAATTTTTATTTGTTTTTTTTCTGTCGTTTTTTTTTGTATAGCCATTGAAACCGAAGCATGCCACTCGCAAGTTTGTGTCAAAAGCAAAGATTAATCTCAACAAATATTGGCATAAATTTGAAGAAATTTTAACGGCTGCTGGTGAAGATATAAAATCCATGTCATCCACCTACACTGAGTTCATCATTGCACAAAAAGACAAGTACTGCAGCGTTGAACCGACCAACACCTCGGACCTGTTATCATCCACCAAATTGACATTGTTGTCAGCTGTACGCAACCAAACGCCGAACAATTTGCACGATGAATTGAACACATTGGTTTCAAAGAACAACGATGAAGACAGTGACGCTGTGGCACTGAAGAACACCAACGAAAGTGAACCATCATACAAAGCATTCAGCAATGATGATCTGTACTATGGCGTCAATTTGAGCACAAACATCGCACCAATGGGTTCGTTCAAAGCAAAACGTTGCTCATGCTATTTGGATCAAGAATTCATGACTCCACCACCGCCACCACAACGCCGACGACCAGCATCCACTTCATTCATTCCAACGTCACAATTCATTGCCGCCACAAGCATGGGCCAACAATCATCATCGTCAGCAGCACCACGTTTCAATCATCGCAACATTCGTTTGAGCGTCGAAGATTGCCAGAATCTCGAAAACGAAGCACTTCAGGTATACGGAAAATTTAGCTTTTATGATACTAGTTTTTAAGTTAACTGCAATGCTTGCACTATGTAATGAACTGAATTTCATTTTCAAATTGGCAAATGCTTTTGTGCCTTATTCAAGTATTGTGTAGTTGATTAAGATCACTTTTTTTTCTCTTTTCATTTCTCACTTCCAATTTTGCTCAGTGATTTGATTTAAGTATTTGTTAAGACTTTTTATTTTGGACAAGAAAACAACAACAACAAAAAAGCAAATGAAATTTCGCCGTTTAATCGCAAGCCATTTCACGACCTTGTGACACTTCACGTGTCGATAAACAACCGGAAAATTCGTGTCATGCAACACACTCGAAAACTTTCCGAACAAGCTAAACAATTGGAGTCTTTTATTTGAGCTTCGACTCTTGAACTTCCCATTCGATTGTTTCGATTTCGTTGGAATTTCACCGAAAACTCTCAATAGCAGGGCAATGATGCAAAATAAGGTTAAACAGAAGAAATGATTCAAAATTTGAAGCAATCCATTTCATTTGAAAACTAACAATATCGTTAGAAAATACTAACGATCGCTCAATTCCAGTTCTATGTTCTATTCATAGAACGTTGTTTGAATTGACATTTTAAAATGAATTTCGCCTCGAATTTGTTTCATTTCTTCGACTCAATGTGTGCAATTTAGTTTGTTAGGATCGGCAAAACTGTGATTTAGTTAGATGTGTTTGTGATCAATTGCGTTTGTCTCTCTCACGCCATAGAGATAGTTGAAAGTGCTCACTTGGTGCACTAATGCCTTAAACACTGAACATGCGCATGTGTGCGGTTCAATTGAGTTTTTAGCAAACTTGCTTGAGTCCGTCCGCACCACATAATTCAGGCGGCTTGGTGTAGCAGTAGCAAATAGGCCGATATTAGTGTCAATTCATTAACTTTAGGAATGTGTGGTAGGAAAAATGTGTTCTTGGCCGAGATTTTGCTCGTGAGCCGATGAACTCTGGTAGATTAGCTTTAATTAGATGTTTAATTTGTCGAATGTGATAATAGGGTAATGATGCGCTGATTCCATTTCCAAAGCACTTTCTCCCCGCTCCGGAACATGGCAATCGGTCACGTGATATAAAACAAGTGATAGCAAGTGTCTTCCAATACATAGCCGCTCCATGCGTCTCATCGACCACCATCGAGACAGCAAGAGCATATATTTTTCTTCCGCTCCTCATTTTTTAGCAAAATTCTAGCAATATTTTTGCAATGACTATAAGGACAAAACAAGCAATAATTTCTATGATCTCCTCTCAAAACAAAATCGATTTATTTTTTAGGCAATTTTTTTTTTTTTTTTTCAAAAGAGTTCTATTTTTGGTTTTGAAGATTTCTATATTTTTTTTCGGTTAAAAGATTTCTATATTTTTGGTTGAATCATATCAAATTCTAGAGCACTTCCCTTTCATTCGGGCACATTGTGTTTTGTTTGCAACAAGATCTGGAGCGATTTTTTTTCCTTTTTCTTCGTCTGTGATTAAAATGCTCAATGCAATACACAGATCTTGATGGAAACAAAATGCGGCATCGTTGAAAGTGTGAGTTTTGTTGGCAGAGTTCAGAAATTTATTTTATCAAAATTTTATTTTAGATCCAAATTTATATTTTTTTTAAAGAGAGATTTTTATTTTTTACGTAGAAAAAGAGAGATTTATTTGATTTTATTTTGTGATTTTTGAGGTGAAGCACACATGGATAAAGCATAACGATGAAACACAATTCCAATAGCCTTGAACTACCCATTCCAATGGGTATTTAAACAGGTGTTGATTCGTTTTGTTCCATTGTGTATTGCACTCAGTTTCGAGCTTCCAGTACAAAATTAGCAGGTCTTCCATGTCAATTGCGATTCTATTGCACGAGTTAATATCGGGTCTTTCCAAACTCAAAACGACTGCAATGCATTGACTAACTTATGTTTTTTTGGTATAGATTTTCTTTTTGAAACTGTGATCGCATCGTCCTTGCTTTTGATTATGATGTGTGTGTGTGTGTGTCATGTTTCTGACCGAATTTCTACACAAGGTCGCAAGGTTATTCGTCGAATGTCATTTGAACAAAAAAAAAAAACAATCACCCACCCACTGGTTATTATGCAAGTACTCATTTTCATTAGTTACATCTAAGGCTTTCGATTTAAGTTCATACACTTAAACAGACAAATGAACCAAGTGAATTTATTACAACTCCCAGTTAAATTTCTTCCATTTTTTTTTGAAAACATTGTTTATTCCCAACTCAAAAGTGAAAGTTTTTTTTTTACACTTTCTAGCCTTAGTCCTATTGATAAGCTTTTAATTTTATTTTATTCTAACAATCGAGTTATCCTACTTTATTTCGATTTCATATTGATCTCCGTAGCACTAGCCAAAATGTTTTAAGTTTCATTTTTTATTATTTCACTTACCATTAAGTTTTGATTCTAACTAAGATCTCATAAGATTGTGTTTTATTTTTAAACTATTTTTTTGTGTGAACAGTTTGACAATTGAAAAATAAAAAGCAAAAAAAGAATATCTTCTCTCTTTGATTTCAAACATTTCTTTGATATTTGCAGCGATTTCAGCGGAGTTATTCTTTTGCAGCTTTTTTGCAGACATTTTTACAGCTTTCAACTTTGTTTATGCTGATTCAAATTTGACTCATAAAAGGATTTTCCACAACTTCTCAACATTCTTTCTTTTAATCCTGGCCATTTTCAGCTCTGAGTATCCAGTCAGTGGAGCATGTAGCTTCTTTGGCAATGATGTTCATGAACACGTGTTTATGCCTGATTCACTTGATCGAATTACGTATCTAATTACATAAGTTATTTCTTCATTCAACAGTTATTAACATCATTCCCTTGTCTACAATCCAGATTCAAATCGGCTTCAATGCTTTAATGCTTCAATTTGGCTTGATTTTGGCTTTGATTCATTTATAACACATGAAAACATCCACACCAACATTCTAATAAGACTAAAAAGAAATCATTGCCCTTCACCAAAAAGTCCCGATAATTGAGAAAAACATCGATTTGAACCAAAAATGCCGTTCAAACAGTCCATATAATCCTAAATTTATGTTACGAATTCCTTTGCGAAAAAAATGTTTGCCCATTTTATGTTCCAAATATTAGTGTAAATAAGGAAAAAAGGAAGAAGATCTGTCCGAAAACCCTGTTCACAGTACGAAAAATTGCCGAGTTTCAGGAGTTATTCTGCTTCCCTTTTTGCCCAAATATCCTTAAGCCTGTTGCACATCATATTCTACCTGCTCGTCGATTGCAACGAAAATCGTACCATTGTTGCAACGTGCCGTGCATAACCAAAACTGTATTCTTTTTCGCTTGGGTTTGCATTATAAATTTATACGTTACTATAATAATACTATAGTACAAATAATAAGGAATCGTGTCAATCGAAAGACATTCTTCAAATTATTTATGCATGTCGATTCGATCATTCGAATGTGACGAAAAGAGTGTTTTGTTTTTTTACTTGGTGAGGCTTTAAGAAATTATCGTCTTTCTTCTTCTTCTTCTTCTTCTTCTCCTTCTCTCTCTCTCTCTTTCTCTGTTTTTAGAACAATCGCACTTGAGCAACGCTCCCAGAAGCATAAGTGTTCGTTCGCTCGTAAAATATATGCAAATGAGCCCATGTAAACGAGAGTGTTTTTTTCGCGACTTTCATCACAATGAATTATCCATGTATTTCTTCACTCCTGAGCGGTGGCTCTTACAAGAAATAAAGATTCTAATATAATTTCATGCTCAATGAAGAAATTTAAATGTTGAATTAATATATGGCACACCTGTTGCCCTTTATTAAGCGCAATAAACACACGAGCAAATGATACGGTTACGAAGAGTGAAATGAAAATAAGGAGAGAAGAATAGTTAAAAGTATCTTAAGAATAGAAATTAATGTTTTATTTCAATAAATTCATTTTCGAATTCTGAATAATAAAAAAACTAGAAAGATGATGGTTGAATGATTGAACTATCCAGTGAATTCGATTATAAGCGAGAAAGTGATTTGTTCCTTTGGCATTCATACCAGAAAGTTCAAGTAACAACAAGAGATAAAATGATGAAGCCAGAAATTACGTTTCAAATTAACAATTCAAATGCTCATTTTCGAAACTCCTTATGCTTGAATAAACTTCAATTTTGTGCAAATGAATGCTTTTTCGAATTTGATTCGACGAATTGATCAATCGAAATCAAACTGAACACAGATTTTTCGAAGAAACCCTAAAATGGACGAAAAATCTATTCTGAATGAATATGAGAGAGGTTGTCAATTTATCGTTCTTCAAATTGGCTTCTAGCGAATGTTTAGACGTAATGCAACTGATTAAGACAATTGTGTATTTAAAGAGCAAAATCAATTGCCGCTGTGTGCCACTTTGAAGTTATTAGGGCTGATGGCAGCCCATTCTGTTCAGGTGATGTCTCACTGCGTGTGTAAAATATAGAATAAATTGTTCAGTTCAAACATTCAGTCTTTGGCGTTGAAATACAATAATATTTATTTGACTTGTTATACTTGGGCATTGAGAGGGATAAAATTTGACACAGCAAATATTTTGCGAAAATCTCAGTTTTTCCTTGAGAGAATTAAAATGATCAACAATTTGGAAATTTCGAAGGGTAAGTTAATTTCCCTCGATCAAACTAAATTTTTAGCCTTATAATAAATGAAGTTTAAAAAATTTGGATGAAAATTCATTGTTTTCTTCCAAATCGATATAAAAATGAGAACATCAAACGAGAAAAATATGAAACAAAGCAACTCATAATCTGGAAAAAATGCATTTTTCTTCTCGTACAATAATGTTCTTAACAATGCCACAGTGCCGAAGTGACATACCAATCTATTCATTCCTTTATATTCACATAATTAATTCAGGCATAAATCCACAAATTGACCATAAAATTTGCGATCGATCATTATAGTTTCGATCTATTGGGTATTATGCAATGATCTCGATTTCTCGGGAAAAATGCCATATTTCCCGAGAAGCAACCGCTATTGAATCCAACATTTATTGAAGCAGAAGCTGAAACAAGAGCATAACAATCGCCAAGTTCTCTCTGCGTGGTATCGATTCTATTGTTTTCCAATTACAACGAAAGCAAAAAAAAAATCATAAAAAGCAATAAAAAAAAGTCGGTAATAATTATTTCGAATCGTTCGTCAATTCTATTGTGCGTTTAAACGCATTAAATGAGATAAATCGTGCGAAAATGTTTTATTGGAAAAAATGAAAGGAAAAAAATGCAAAAGAAAAATCTCATGTATGTATTTAGCTTTGGATTTAACTAATTGATTCAGCGCGATTGGATAAAAAGGTGTTATTGTATGTGGACAAAAGATGTAAAACTACATATTTGCCATCTGCTAAAAATGATATTGATTCTTGGTGTTGCAATTCGTGAAAATGGATCATCATCAGGGATTGAATGAGCGCTAAAAGGATCATCAAAGAAAGATAAACTGTGTATTTCACACTAAATCAAGCAAGAAAAAAGTCGTAATTTTTTCAATGGATCGAATGAAAAAAAAAAAAAACAATATAAAAAGTGATTGCCAAAGGCAGCCTTGAACTGCCATTATTTATGAAAGAAAAGAACTGAATTATACTTGTGTGAACAACAATGAGCCGTCCTTAGAAAATGCTGTAATTTTTCGGTTTAACTTGAAAACGTTTATGTGGAAATCACGCGCGGCAGCCATTTGAATGTGTATTTCGGGCAGACTATTGTCTGGTGATGCTTTTTTTGTGTGTGTGTGTCTGAAGAAACAAAATTTCCATCAATTTTCCATACAGGCGAAAAGAGAAGTAAGCAAAAGTCATTTCGATTCGGGCCAAGGATCATCAAAAGGAATCGCATCGATTCTCGTGGACTATTGATCCTCATTATTGTCAACCTATTGACACCATTCAAGGAGATTCTATACAAATTAACTATCAATATAAACGTTTTTATCGTTATTTAGTTTCTGCGTTATTGTTTCTTTCTCTTCTTCTTTTTTTTATTTCAATCGCCCATTGATTCATCGGTTGGTCGGCGATGCTTTTTAATGTGTGCATGTGTGTGTGTCTTTTGATGCCATTTTTACCTTCTCATTTTCTTGTTATTATTAATGCCAAATTATAACAAATAGCTTTAAATGGTTTTTATGTAGCGTTTTATTGTGTGTTCAAGTAAAGCGAAGCGAAGAGAGAGAGAGAGAATGCAAAGGATCAAAAATAATAGCCAAACAATATCGTTTCAATTTCAGAGACAATAAAAACAGTTAAAATGAAGTGTGACCATGCAACTACTCTTGCACGCTGTATCAACACACACTCACAATGATGAACCATGCTCTTCTTCTTCTTTATCTCTCTCTGCCAATGTATTCAGCATAGAATTAATTCAAAACACTTCGACTGAATAAAACTGAATATTGTCACACACTTACAAAAAAAAAGAATCTCGAATCCCATTCAAGTGTGTGAGAACGAAAAAAAAGCAATTTCATTTTTTCATTTGTCTCCTTTAACACTTTTGAACGCATTCCTTTTTGACTTGTTATTGTTTTTTAGGCACGTTTTGTCTCCAATTTTTCTCTCTTTTTACATCTTCAATGGCCGAATTGTTCCTCATTCATTGCAAATATCAGCAAATGAATGGGAACCGTATAAATGGACAACAATGAAAATTATGAACAATTAGATAGAATTTGTGTGAGTTTTAAATTTGAATTGAACATACTCCGTATAAGTGAAAATAGTGTGTGTGAGGGAGAGAGAGAGAAGAATGTGTGTGATGCGTGTCAAAAAAACAACATTCAATGGGCCGTGCCAATGTTCAAATCACAACCGATCCACTGGATTAAATAACACTTGAGTGCACTTTTGACTTCAGCCACGGATCGCTTCGGCAGCAGGCAAAAAATGACCCCGAATCCCATTTCAATGACTGCATGATTATTTATTTCGTATTTTTTCACATTTTTACACATTTATTTCAAACATTTCTAAGCATTTTTTGGCACGAAATTCGAAGAAACCGAAGAAAGCGCCAAACAATTCAACAAAAGTCAACAAATTGCGTTTAAAGAATTAACAAATTTACTCACAATAATAGGAGAATTGAGAAAATCTAATGAACACTAATGGAATATAATGGAATGACTTGGAAAGTCATTGAAAACACGGAGAAAACAGTCTTTAAAAAATGATAATATTCACAAAAGCAATGAATTTATCAACAAAAGCGATAAAAAATGATGAAATTTCTTTAGAAGTAATGCAGGAGCCCAAAATATATCTGCACATCTCTGCCGAGCTGTTGTTCATTTTTGATTTGATTCCACTTAAAAAGAGCATTAAAGCCATGAAACTGCAAATATTTAATTGA